CATTTCCTCTTTCTGCAACTCTTCCAATCTTCCACATTCACTCATACTCAACTTTTCATCTCACATTATATGTCACATACCTGAGAAGAGCCCTTTTCAACCTTCTCAATGTGCTTAAACTCTTTTAGTCTCTATTAAAATTGCAACTGACTTTTTTCTTTATGGCTTTCCTTTCTGTCACTTGAATTATATTAAATGTTCTTTGAAGCCAAGGTCACTCTTTCCCCCACCGCATTCCTAACATGTGCCATATAATACATGCAGCATGAAAAATATTTATTGCTTGACAACTGTTTGGCTGATTGAAGGACTGGTTCTTAATTTTTTCAAGAACACTATAGTGAATTCTAAGATTTCAGTTCAAGTTACCCTGCAGACACTAACCAATTGTGTAGAATTTGGCCAGCCACTTCACTCTTCTAGATGCAGCTTTCCCTTCTAAAATGCTAAGTGAATTGAGCATGTATTGTTATCACTTCCAGAGCCAGGATTCAATAATATATTTCAGTAGAAATACAAATTAATTGTAACCTATTATTAGAACTTAGACTCGTGGTTTTTACACAATAATTCCAACTCACTAGAGGACACTTATTTACTGAAGGGATACATGAAATTCTCAAAATCTTTATTTTCCAGTAGGGAAAAATGAAGCCCAAGGACTTGACCTAATTTATTTTGGATTACATAAAGGGGAAGTACTGGATTTAAGATTTGAACTCTTTTTCTGCTGTCCCACTGCCCCTGAAATTGAGAGTAGATGCCATTAGACTAATGATGAATTACTAATTTCTACCTTGTATTGTTGAAGATAGTAAGCTCCCAAACCCTTTTTCTTTATTCTTTGTAAGCAGGCCAATAGACTCCTAGGAGATCTGTCAGGAAGACTTTCATCTGTGACATTTATTCTCATGCACACTTTTGTTGGCTTTGTGCAGGAAAACTTCATTTGGATTCATAACCTATGCTTAAGCATGTATAATTTTGCCTTTTACCTTGACTTTATAAAATAAAAACATTCTCCCAAAGCTCTTGCATTAAATTTGAAGATTTTGTGTAACTGTCAAAAGTCCTGTAAGATCTTTACAGTATCTTCATTAACAGACCAGAGATTTAAAAAAAAGAAGACTTGTGTTTTCTAGGGAAAATATCTTATCTGTTTGTTTTCATTTTAAACTGTAGAAAAGTACCATGAAAATTAAAATGAATATGTGACTTCTCAGAATAAATATTTCTTGTTAGCTTCAGATTTGCTTTAGTTTTCTCATATTTGCTACAGTTTTTCCTTCAAATTAAAAAGTGAAAAATTTGGAATCATTCTATGCTTTGCCCACATCCATTTTTCCCCTTTTTCTTTAGATAAAAACACTATGAATACTTTTTCTGTATCCTTCTAATCCATGCCTCTAACTTCTTAGTATACATTGTCTAGTATCTTACAATTTCATAAATACATATTTTACTTAAATGACATTGTATTATACCTCTTATTTTACAGACCTTCTTTCACATAAAATTTATAAAATAAAGATAGAAAAGCAATTTAGGTAACCAATCTGAGTAATTTAAGGAAAATGTAATGGTATCTCAAGTTGGTTTCCAAAATGGTTCGTTGTAAAGAATGTGACATTGAAGCGCATTGAAAAATTGATCATTTATGCTTATTCAGCATAAAGGAAAAAGAAGACATTTATTAAACACCAATGTGTCCGGTACTGAGCTAAGTGCTTTGTGTGTTGATTTAATCATAATACCAGCTACAATACAGGCATTGCAGTGCCATGTTACAGATGAAAAAAAAAAAAGTCATCTCAGACAAATGACTTTGGCAATGTCCTGTAGTGATGAAAATTCAGGATCTGGAGTTAGACAGCTTGTGTTCACATTGTGACTTGACTTCATTAGCTATACGGCCTTGGACAAATTACTGAATTTCTCTAATTTACAAAATGAAATCAATAATATTGTCTACCATAAAGGGTTATTTTAAAGACTGAACAGGTTAAACCCTGATAACAATATCTAGTATTTTATAAACCCTATATAAAGTATTTCTATAGCAATTCCGGAAATCATTATTCACAACCTCCCTTAAAACGTAATGTTAATAATACCTAAAAGAAACAAACAACAAAAGGCAAAACTACACAGAAATAAGAAAGGGAAACAAAAACAGCAATTGAGCCAAAAAAAAGGTGTCTCTAAACTTTCTGAAAAGGATACAAAGACAGAGACATGTTGTACCCCATATTCTTCCACATCTAATTGTTGACAGGACCCTAACACATCGGGAAAAGCAAAGTCAAATTCCTGAAAATGCAAGGATCTTTATCTAATGCATATTGAACAAAGTAATAAAACATGGCTTCAAATGTGATGTAACAAAACAGGAGGGATTTCTTCACCTCTCTTGCTCTTAGTGAAAGCAGATGGTTTAATTCAGTAAAAGCTGATGCATTTGGACAAGGGACAGAGTAATATGTCCAGATTATGCATCTTTTAGGTGCCTGCTTGCATTCAAGGAAACCTTGGAGAGGTTGAGCATTTTAAGAAAACATAAAACTTAAAACAGTGTTCACAAATTAGGTGTTTTTGAAATCAGTCAAATAAAAATTCAGATTTAAGGTTGAGCATGTGGCTGGAGAGAAAGGGTGGGGGAGGGAACCCTGCTAATTATATTACTATGGTTAAGAATGAAATCTCAAGAACCACTACATGTAGTTAAAACTGAGCAAGGCAACATGTGGATAAAGAGGGGAAAAAATAGGTATAAGTCTTCAGAAACCCTGGGGAAAAACACACAAAGCATTAAAAATTGGAAGATCCTGTTAGAGTTTTTGCCTATGTCCAGAAAAGATAAAACCCTAACATTTATAACAACATGAATGAACTTCGGTGCGTTATGCTAAGTGAGATAGGTCAGGTAGAAAAAGATAAGTACTATAAGATTTTACTTACAGAGGGAATCTAAAAATAGTTAAACTTACAAAAAAAGTTAAATTTAGTTACTATGGAAAAATTAGACTGATGTTCAAGAGTTGACAGTTACTTCCAATGGTAAATAAGCTATGGAGTCTCATGCACAGTACAATGAATATAGAAAATATTGTACTATAATTATATAACATGCAAATATAGCTATAAAGGTAATCATTACAAGGTAGAATTGCACTAAAGTAACACATTGTGTACCTTAAATTTACACAATGCTGTTCCATCTATCCATCCATCCATCTTCTTGCCTACAGAAATTTAGGTATACAAGATTGTTGATGTTATTCTGCCTCCATGATTCAGACTCCCCAGAAATGGTGCTCTCTCTGGCTGAGAAAAATTCCTCACCTGAAACTAAAGAAATCTGACATGGGGAATACCTTGAAGGCAGTCCACTTAGGGAGTTTGGGAGATTAAGAACATTCCTTTTTAGGGAAATGAGTAAGTGTACACAGTCTAGAAAACTCTTCTATCAGTCTTATCTACATGACCTGAAACTAATGAAGCTTCCTTCTTCTCCCTAATGTTATAGCTGTATTAGAAGAGTATTTTAATTTTTTTTTTTTAGTCAAATTAAACTACCGGTTTTCTATGGCCTGATAACCTGTATTCTTGTTCCAATTCTGCATGAGGAATCTTTAGTAAGTTAATTACACATTCTTAACTTCCAAACTTATAAAATAGAAACATTAAAATTGAATTGTGTCCCTTCAATTTTTCAAAACAGGTGAGTGAAGAAGATGGGGTAACTCATGGGAAAACATTACATAAGTTGCAAAATAATAGAGAATATGGCAATGCACATAAAGAAGGGCACTGGGATGAAGAAGAAAGGTGGGAAAATGAGATGAAAGGAGAGCAGGAAGATGACTTTGCATGGTGAGGGTAAGAACAAATGACTGCCCAGTGGTAATATTTGGAGACATCATTAGAACAATTTTCACACAAGCGCTGTTAAAGTTTGTAGTACCTATTGGCAAACTATTACAGAACATTAGATTCTAAGACATTTCATTCCTGCCATCAAGTTACAAAAAGATGGCAGGTCAGTTGCCCTGAGAATTAGGTTGACTTTCTAGCTGTTATTTCTATATTCAGAGGATGTGAGAAAAAGAAAATATACTCCATCACTTCTTAAGCACCTCCTCAAACATGCACTGCTCTCCCTAAGGTTGTTAAAGTGAAGGGTATGGATTTGTATTTTTTAATTATTTAAATTAAAATGTGGTTTAAAGAGAAAACAAAACTAAAAACAATAACAGAGATGATCATAACTTCTTCCCAAATCCATAACATTTTCTATTTCCCTTGATCAAGTCAGTTTCCATTATTGATTGTCAGTGTCCTCATTTGTTAAAGAAGGTGTCAATTAAAGAGACTGCTGTAAGTCTCGTCCAGCAGTCAAGTGTATGAGCCACAGATTCTAATGCTATGTAGTTACATTTTCCTTTCTATACATATTTAAAACAAAGAATCAGAGCTAGAATGACACAGACATCCCATTGCATGCTTTGATAAATCCTGCTCACTGTTCATGATTTTGATACTGTTATATACTATCACTCTACTTTACCTTTTTTGAATCTCAGCTTCAGTTTCTTCATTTGTATTCTGGACAAATGGAAACTTTGCAGTGCCACTGTGAACTTACATAAGATACTCTAAAAAGAAGGTGGTAGGTACCCTGCTTACAGTATCTGTACAATCAAAATTAGCTCTCATCCTTGTCTTGACAAATTTTAAGTATTTTTTAAATGTTTGTGTGGTCTTGGCAGAAATTGTGAGAATATTGTCATGGAAATGTGGAGGACTGTCTCTTGATGCAAAACTCTCCCTGGAAAAATAAATATCTCATCTAATCTTAAGAATGTCATATTTTTTATTAAATTCCATGTGGCCAAAAAGGCTATTATTTTTGAACCTAGATTTAGCTTTATTGGCTCTTATACAAACTGTATCCATGTTCAAGCTCCAAACTAAATAAAATGTATACTGTGGTTTTTTGTAAAAGGATAAATAGAGCATTTTATTAACACATTTGTTTTGCAGAAACAAATGACAGTCCATATCTTTTCATTCAAACAAGAAAAAGCTATGATCACATTACATCACTGTGAGACACAAAGCAAAAGATTTTTATTTTCTTAAGGTCAAGAATGGTTTGCATCTTTTAAACAAACTCTGTGTTTTATATTGGCAGTAGCAGGGCCTCCAGTCACTAGCACAATACAATAAACAGATCAAATATTCAGAAGAGACAATGAAATACACCAGTAATATTTTGAGTTGAATTGGGAAGTGCATAATCATTTTAGAACATTATAAAGAGGTCTGATGTAAACCTTTTTTAAAAGAAAAAAGTCATTCCAACCACCCAAACAGCTACCACAAGCTAAATGAAGATAATATACAGACAGGAAGTTGTATGCATTGCACTTATTGCTTGGTACACAAATGTTGCAATTCCTGTTGCATTATATTAAGAAATGACAAGCAAAATGCCTCTGCCCCGTCTAAGTTCTAAGACTCTATGAAAGTAGAAATTGCAGTCCCCTAACCCAACATTAGGTGTATGCTATTTTTGGTTTTTTGTGAAGAGTGTTTATTATGTTTCTGTGTATGGAAATGTGTAAGATATATAGATATATATATAGATATAGATATAATTTTAATATAATTTGTTGCCCTATATATTTAAGACAAGTATCTTATAAATGGGATTTTAAATAATAAAACTGTATACTTACAATATCTCTATTAAGTTTATCTTTTCATATTATATATAGCTCTGTGGCACAAGTTTCATATAGTATTTATTATTAAGGAAGAAGGATATCTAAATCATATTCTATTTATTTCTTTTGTTGTTCATATTGCATTTTAAGGGCTATAATCTCCATAGTAAATTTCTTATTAGATTCTTTACAGTGTATGCATCTTTTTATCCTAATGTAAGTTACAACCAGTACAAAGTTGTGATAAAAAATACATTTAAGTATATTTATTTTTCATATTTTTTTTTTTGCAAAAAGTTATGTAATATGCTACATGAAAAGTCAGATTCTATTGAAATGTGAAGTGGTTTATACTGGCAGGTAAATGAATGGAAGAACATGAAGCATACCCCTCACTTTACAAGTTCTCTCTGACTGGGATAAGTGTTTGTGCCCAAGCATTTTATATAAAATACTGCAAGATATTCCTTTTGAGAACCAATAAAATATTCCACATTAAGTAATGGCAATATTTGGTACACCCTGTTAGTTGCTAGCCCAAAACTTACTTTTCCAATTGTGTTACACTCAGTAAAAGCTGCCGACACCTGATTCAGCTAACATGATGCTTTTTAAACAGGACTTCTGCATGATATCTTGCAATAACAAATATATAAGTGCATTTTGCATGATCAAGTAGCTTTGGCCTCCTAACCTTTGTCGGATGGAATGTGCCAACTGTTTTAGTTGTGCTTTATTAAATGGAAATGAATATTAGCTCATATGAATCCAATGAATAACTACTTGCTTCTACAGTTTTGAACAGTCAATCTTTAAGTCACAAACTCAAGAATAGATGATCAGAATGAAAATGATGGAATCTCACAATTTTTACAGATTGCACTTGAATGGCAAATTCATGGGTTTTGTTTTGATTTCATTTTTACAGCAAGACTTGCCTGGTTGATACGTTTACATGGTTACACCATTTTTTTTTTTAAATCTGTGTGCAATCACAATTGAATCACAAACACTAAAAATAAATCCAGCAATTTGTTTTGTTATGAATAATCATCTTGGGCCTTATAGGTGTATGAGTCTTGTACTTCTTCTTGTACAAATTCCTCTTTCTTTTCCCAGCCATTGGGCCAACCTCCGTTGGCCTGTGTTGTGGCACCATAGGACTTGGCGGTACCATAATTGATATAATTTTGAGTAATGTCCCCTGTTTCTTCATCAAGTTCATCTTCATGGATAAATCCACATTTTTCTTCACTTGTTTCCTCAGGATCTGCCCAAGGTTGCTTCTCTCCTGAGGCAAATATTGCATAAAAAATAACTCCGCCGTAGTGGACTAGGGCAGCGATCAGGAAGACATACTGCCACTCTTCACGGGACTGTGGGGACAAGGTGGCGCTGTGAGAACAAACTCCTCATGACTGAAAAGCCTGATATCTTTGGTTGTCCCGCCATCAGGCAGGACGTAAAGCGCTATCTTCAGGAGAAACCTCTATTCTGACGTATAACTCACACACTCTGATAGAAACGCTATGTAACCCTATGGCCTTTGTTACTTTAAAATGTTTCAAGTCTGAACTGCTGAAATATAACTCCAAAGGCATTTATGATCTGCTATTTTTTTAAGTTTTTATGATCTTTCATTTCCATTTAATTACTTACCTTTTCTCCCGCCGCTTCTGTTTATTTCCTCGTGGTAAACCATAATTTTGCAGTTTTACCCATACGACAAATAACTGATAATATCTCTCCCCTGAGAACCACAGAGGCGTCGGAATTGCGATTTACAAATGAAGTTCACAAGATTTCTGTGTGCCTGTTCTAATCAGCTAGGAACAAAGGTTTATTGTATTGTATTGTATTTTTAAACTTCAGCAGGGATATCATAAATATTTAAAAGGTATTGAGGATCATTTTGCTTATTGGTGAGGAAAGATATATTGGTTAAAGAAATACTTTCTTCTGAGTCTCATTGATCTCTTTTACTTAAGGGTGTGGTGACTGGACCCAAAAAGGAATTTCGATATATTCATTTCCCAATTTTGAGGAAGAATCTTCTGGAACTGAGTATCAGTGTTGCTTCTTCTTACCTTATTCTTTGTCATTGCACCAACAATGATAGGACAAACCATTCCCGACAGTGTACCAACACCATTCGAAATGCCCATTAAGATACTGGCATATCTTGGAGCAATATCCAGATGGTTAACATTGAAACCTGAAATAGACACAGAAGATTTGATTCAGAAAACCCTAAATAACTCAGAGAAATAAGTACCTGTGGGTATTCCCTGACATATTCACCCTTTTTTAAAGAGCCTATAACAAGTTTTTAACAAATACTTTCTAAATAAAGGATGTCAGGGATATAATGGGAATGGAATATAGTATGTTTTCTTATCCAATGTTTAATATATGTACTCACTCCATAGAGAGAAGGTATTTTCTCTTAGGGTAAAATGTGTAGTAACAAATCCAAGTAATGATTTCCAAGTGTTTTACTTTTATAGCCTAGTGGAAATATGTTAAGCAAAATTTCTCAACAGTAAAAATATTAATGTGTGTGTGTATGTGTGTATACACATATGATATACACAATAGAGATAGATAGCTATCTTTAATATTCAGCCCAAATCAGGATGTCACAAATGCACATTTTAAAAATGTTATCTTGGGCCCTCCCTGGTAGCACAACAGACTAGGATGCAGCACTGCAAGCTAGCTGCAGCCGCTTCAGTGTGAGCTCGATCCCCAGCCCCAAAGGTGACCCACATGGCACAGTAGCCCTCTGCTCTCTTGGTTTCTGCTCCCCTCAGAAGTGTACTTCATCCATCTGCCTATTCTTCTCCCCACTCTGTCTTGGTGAATCTTCTCACCCCTCACACCTCTGGCCTGCACTCCAGTTCTGTATGCGTAAATAAATAAATCTTTATTTTAAAAAATGTTATCTTACCAGATATAGCAAATCCGCTGAACCCCACTGCAAGTACCAGGAACGAGATCGCAACCCCTCTGGTATGAGAATAGCCAACAACCAGAAGCAGTGTTGCTTCCATGCCAAAACCTTTAAGAACACACGCAAATGTTTCAGAAGTCTGTGTAAATCATTTGTTCAAATGATTTGAAACTGCTAAATAAGCACCTATGTATTGACCTAGCAAACCACTTTGAGAAGCCTAATATAAAAACAAAAATATAGTGATAATAGATGCACAGTTTACTGAAGATTTCCTTGTGCTTCAATAAAAATATTAAAACCTACCTGATGCTTCAGTGGTGGGAAGGGCTTGGTTAATGATGCAGTGGTTTAAAACTTTGAGTTATGAACATTCAGAGACAAGAAAACAATTATAAATAAGTGATGGAGGCATACACAGTACTGCACATTTTTAAATGATATGCACAGAGAAGGCTGCTCACTTGTGTAGATCAAGAATTTTGTGAATCAAAAGCATATCCTTAATGAAACTCATGTACTTACCACCACAATTCATGATCTTCCTCACTGTAGTAGTTGAAAGAATTTGCTTGCTTCTGAGAAAATCTGCAATCTGCCCTCCAATTGGCACAATAATTGTCATTACCAAGTGTGGCACAGCAGAAAGCATGCCAACCTGGGAAACACACAGAGGGGAAACATTAATGTGAACATCAATGTTGTGGGCAAGCTTCTGGCTTTGGTTTACAGAGACCATTATGTTTTTTATGGACAAAAGAAGGAAAACTTACATCTCTAAACACCACCTACTCATTCCAGGAATAAGCAATGACTTACAAAGAATAAATAAGAAGAGTTAAGAATATTTTCCTGGATCTTTTTTTTTGTTTTCTGGAAGACAGTACATTTTTCCTAGAGTGAGACAGTAAAACCTGAATTTATGAATAAATTATCCTAAATCTGATCAGTAATCAGTGATCAGATTTTTGTGCCAAGTTTATATTCTTAAAAATATTTCAGCTTTCCACTTCCAGGAAAGAAGGGAAGGAGGAGAGAGAGGGAGAATCAGAGAGAGAGAAATACATTAAGTAAAATTTGAAGGGCTGTAATGAATAATTAATTTTCAATTCAACATAAGGCTAAGAACATTAATGACATTTTAAAATATATATATATATCTTAGCTTTATATTTAGCTTCTATAGATTGAAGACCATAAAATTCAGGTCAGGCCGGGCCCTCCCTGGTGGCGCAGCGGGTTAAAAGCACAGCACTGAGAATCTAAA